AAGTGGATATTTAAGCCACTGTTCAACAAAGAACTACCATGGCACGAGTTAGCACTCCACCAGATCCGCAATCTAGTTCCTTTCAAAGTAGATCCCACCATAGAAGGCTACTATTGGATCCTCAACCTGTCATGGACCCCTAAACACCAAGGAAAAAGCGGACCTTCCGATGGAGAAGATCCGCCGAGTGAACACTGGACCACACTAATAACACATTGGAGAGCTTGCTTCCCCCAAAAAATAAAAACCCCACAAATCACGGAGGAAGTGTTGAGACAACCCCTTTTCGGAAATCCCTCACTAAGAGATCAAGATCAAAAGCCTTGGCCCCTAAATTCCAAAGGCAGGAAGTGGAGAAAATGGATAAGCAACGAAATTTGGAAGGTAGAACACATATGGAACTCGAATGAAAATAGATGGATCACAGTCCAGGAACTCAGAGCCAAACTCAAAGGGGTACACAACTTAAAAAAGCAGCTAGAAAACCTGCTAGAAAGCGTCCCACTAAAATGGGAACTATTGCTAAAATCCAAAATCAAGTGGGCAGTGGGAGACTAGGTAACCAAAAAGGGAACAACCCTTCCGACAGAGGGGTATAAGCTAATTAAACTAATCGACAACGAAGAAAGCAGGGCAGAATTCACGTCTTTTGAGCTAGTAGACACGCACAAATCATGGGCAAAACCGGGCAAGATAATTGAGCAAAGGATCACAATAGAACTTAAAAACCTCAGAAAGGTCAGAACATGCTCACCTAGACTCAGTAGCAAAAGCTCCTTACTTAATGAACAAAGCCAGAAGAAAACCTGGATCTATAGGCCGGACCAAGACATAAAAGAACTGGAAGTGGACCCAACAGAATGGGGGTGGCTCGTCCCTAGCAACAAAGGAGGAGCTAGAAAGCTCACACCAATCTACGACTACGAAGTGAAAACAAGGTACAAGTTAAGAAATCAAACGAAAGACCCCCAACCAACAATTTCAGAGAGATGGAAAAAGAACTTGGGTGAAAACGCAGATTGGGGGGGCAAAATTCCATGGAGCCAGTACGCCAGTATAAGACCAACAAAGATCAGAAGCCTGCAATGGCTTATACTATACTGGGCGTTGCCAGTTAATCAATGGCTGACCAAAAGAAGGAAACGAGAAGACCCCCAGCAACGCTCGGCTTGGTGCAAAATGTGCAGCGAGAACGCTGAGGAATCTTTGCAACATTGTTTAATATATTGCCATGGGGCCCAAGAACTCTGGGACAGAACCAAATCCCTGTGGGACGACCTATTAGGCCAAGACTACCCAGCAAGTACGAAGTACCTGCTGGCAGGAAGAGAGAAGAAGAAGACATCGAAGAAGAGGAAGCCGTCCTTGCAGACCTATGGAGAAGAGCGCCCCTGTGGGTAATCTGGAAAGCGAGATGCAAAGGCACTTTGACCGGTCAAAATACCAGTTTGGAAGAAAAATGGACCGAAACCAAAACCATAATTCAAACAGAGATAAGAGCACAATGGAGTAGGGAACAAAAAGAGCAACAAAAAATACTCCAACCAGAGAAGCGAGAAACGAGCCAAAGGAACTTTGAAAGAATTTGGCTCAGCAAAAACAGAATTGCAGAGATAGTGAAGGGAAAAATCCAATTTAAAAACTGGCGTTAAAACGAAGATCCAGACTCCGGACCCTTTCTACCCCAACCTCTGCCCCGCACAACCCTCACGCACCTCAACCCCACGAGACTTACCACCCCTGAACCCCCACCCAGAACTCCTAACCCAGACTCTCCATCAAACTAACTTCCCGCCCCAAGTACCAAGCAGGAAGCCCAGGCCCATCTTGAGCAAAAAGGAGGAGCCACGAACCACCCAGAAAGCAAGCTCAGTTTCTGATCCAAGGAAGACCCTGATCTCGACAGGGAGAGCGCAGAGATGTTAACAAAAGATCAGCAAACTGGGCAGAGAGTGAGTGTGGTAAAACGGAAAGGACGGAGGAATTCTGTATACAATGGAAAGACTGGTCCTACTCGGCAAAAGAAAGAAAAAGACCAACGATCCAGACATCAAGAGGTCAAGACCCAACGCAGCCTAAGAACTGGCTCCTCAAGAAAGAAGGAGGAGCCATGTCCCAGCCGGAAGACCAGGATCGGACCCAGACCAAAGGAAGACGCAGACCTTACAAGGGGAAGCTCAGGGACGACAGCAAAAAAGCCGGGAATCAAACAGAGAGAGACGACGGCAAAGCGGTAGAGCAGAGGGTTTGCGGCATTCAAGGGAAAGACCGGCCAAACTCGGAATTGGAGGAGAGAAGACAGAGGCTTTAGACTCCAAGCGCTCAGGGCTACACCTAACCATTGCAGGCGGAAAGGCGCACCTTCTCGAGAGAAGCTCAATGAACGCACTGAAAAGGGTTGGAATTTAACTAGAGGGTTTAAGGGTTCAGGTAGGGTTCAGGGTTTAGGGTTTACTACAGAAATAAGGCAAATAGGAAAAATGAAAACGAAGAGGTCAGGGCAGGTTGAGGGATAGGGAAGTATTCTTCAAAAGTGCTAGTCTTACAACGAGCGTTTAGGGATCAGGGTTAAAGGTTTAAACGTAATTAAAGCAAACAGGACTCTAGAGATGACGGACTACAAAAAAGGTTTATAGGCATCCCAGACAGCTGCACAGCTGAGAGAAGCAGAACTGGGACCTGACAGAGTGGAAGACAAAATTGGCATAGGGTAACTCAGGCAGGGGTGAGAGGTGGTACATCATGTAGTAACATCCTTCCTCATGGAAGCAATCAATACCGCCTTCTCGGGCCCCCCAGCCATAATGGGGGGGAGCGTGGGTGAGTCTCCTATGTATTCCATTATTG